TATATATATATAATACGTACATAGAACACTGTTTACTTGCTTAGGTCTTCAGCTTTTAATCTAACCATTGCTGTGGTGCACCAGTCCACCCTAATTCCTTTCACCAGTGATCTAGGAACCCCTTTTGGTACCTGTTTCTAAGCCACTTAAGGAGAAATTCCCCAAAAACAAACTGCAGGCTCATTGTCTTATTGTTTATATACCAAAGCCTGATTGATTAAAAGTTTGAATCTGACTGGTTTAAACAAAAACAAAAAAAGAAAGAAACAGAATGACCAACTTCTTCTATAAACAGGGGATTTATTTGCAGATTTTCGTTATCTTTGTTTCAGATGTTTTACATTATTTAATTGTTCATAATATTTTTTTTACAGCTACTGTTTTGTCAGAGTTTGTTAGAGATAGAAGAAATGTGTTTTCACCTGGAGTGACTTATAGGCTTGTGATAGAAAGATTCTAGCTGATTGGAAATGCCCAAGCTGTATCAATACATCAGCCTTTTCCAGCCACAGATACGGAAGAGAAAGTCCACTTAATCCTTTCCCATCTGCACGTACGCTCAGCAGCTACAGAAAAAAACAACAGGATTAAAACTGAAACGGTCCACCAAGATAAACTCTTAGTTCAGAATATATTCGCACACAACATATGTCTTTAGAGGACCTTTCATATATTATGCAATTCATTCTTACAAACAAGCCTGTGCTTATTTTGTTTTATCCACCATGAACCTTTATAAGCTGTACAGAAATGCAGACTTATTCGCTACGCCATACAACACTGTTTTAAAAACAGCAACCTAATAGCAACCAGAATTCACCTTTTAATAATCCTATTTAGAAAGCTGAAACGTAATTAGTTTCTATGGGCTATTGCACTTTGCACCGACTTACTGAATAGGCATGATGGTGTCTGACTAGAATTAGGAACTCATCCATCAGTGGCAGAGCTAATGGGATCACAGTAGTGTTTCTCAGGCAGAAATAAAATATTATGTAGGTGTTTGCCATTTTGTTCATTTTAAAGTGTATGTAAAAAACATTTTCTTTTAGCTTGGGACATAGTATGAAAGGGTCAAAATACCCATTGGCTTTTTATTACCATTGTCAAGGAAAAAGCGGTTGAAAGTGTAGCCGAGGACAGAGCCCAACAACAGTAAAAGTCACAGACTGCTTGATCAACAACATGAAAGTACTGGGACTTTATGTGTTTTGTACACACATGGAGTAAAAGGCAGTGAAGCTTGCATCCAATACAAATACTGATCCTAAAAAGGACTGGATAGGTTTAATGAAGATATACCGGAAACCAACATGTAGCGTCTACATCTTGAGGGCTAGCAATAAACTAGTTATGTATACAGATCAGTGTGGTACAGGAAAGGACACAAATTTAACAGCAAATAAATATGTATGGTATAAATATTACAACTAATTAGGATAAATCATAAAGTAAAATAATAAATAGCCAATTATTTTTTAAATACAGGAAAAAAATTCATCTAGGGGAAACTATATATCGTATAAATGTATAGTATACATTTTTTAAATAATTAGGATAAATGCGAAAATAAATTCAGAAGAAAATAACTACATTATAAAAACTGACATTATTAGCACTACGTTGGTAATTCCTTCCTTTTCTTCCATTTTAGAAATACAATATGTTGCAGTTCTGATCCTACAGGTTATCATTTCTCTTATATTTTAGTCATTCATCATTAATGTAGACTTTTTTTAACAATGTATCTGTTTTAAGAATGTTTTTTGATTGGAAAATAACTAATCAAGGATAAAAAGTGAAAAAAAAGGATTTAAATTAATGAAGACTCAAACAACTGCAAGCATTGTTTACAAGAAGGATTAAAAACAAATTAATGCATAATTAAACCTGCAGCAAAATAACCTGTTTTTTTTCTTTCAGTCTATACTCTCGTACAATATAGAGAGTTGCTAAAACATCAATAATAACCATGTCAATGTCATCATTAGCTTAGAAAGGTGAGAAAAAGCAAGTCCATATATGTGGCTGAGGAAAAGGGAAACTGTGCGCTAATGATTTTTCAGGTAAACAGTTACTGGAACAAACAAAAAAGAACAGAACAATATATTCTATGCTCATTTCATTCAGAAAAAAATGTTTTTCTTTTTAAATGTAGCTTTCATTTGCCACAATGCCAGCAATACATACATAAATAAATAAATAAATACAATCTAAATACAAAGTTTGTTTAAGCAATGGTCAAAAACAACCACAAAATGGCAAACAAGGAGGTAAACAAGATGATGAAATGGTGCAGGTACATCGTCTAAACTAAGTTCAGCAAGATCACTGTTGTACCCGGTGATTGACCATCTGCAATCTATTTTACTGGAGAGTAGGATATGGTCTTTGGTTAAAGTAAGTCAACAGTGCATTTTCAATGAATATACATTTTAAGTTCTTTTTGTAAAGTTGACGTTTTTTGATGAAGTTACCTGTTTCTGTGACATATTGTTACGGCTGGATTTCAGATGTTTAGGCTCTCTCTCTCTCTCTCTCTTCTGTCTGTACAGAAGATAGTGCAAACAGCATCCTTGAACGATGACTGACATAAAAAGCCAAATAGCCATTGTGAGCTATAGGGGTTGATTTACTAACCTAAACACACACACACACCAGGTGTGTGTGATTTTCACACAGCAAAACGTATTTATCAACCAAAAAGTCTCTAAAAGCATATTTCCACTAATGCCATATATGGAAAAATCCTGCACATGATGCATATATAATGCTGCTTCACAGTTTAGACAAAAATGGTTAGCTCATGCATTTACATTCCTGCATTCATCAACGCAAGCAACATAACATAGAGCTAATTTACACCACATTACCTTGCAATTCATTGAAGGGCTTTGAACAACACACCTGCTGGGTGTGTACACACTACAAAGGTGTTTCGATTCCTCCCATAGATCATGCTGGGAGGGAACACACTACAGAGGTGTATACACGTTCGTGGTGTGTTTAAAAGGTTAGTAAATCAACCCCATAGACTTGCAGATGAGGGAAGAACTAAAGCATAACCACTAATTCCCACCAGTATGTAAAAGGCATACTGGTTGCTCCTGTGCAAAAAATAATTACAACGTATTCTAAGACACAAGTTTTTTTAAACATTAATACTAGGGCTGGGGAAATTAACGATTAATTCCTCGATTAATCGTTAAACTTTTTGATCGATTAAAATTCTTTTGATCGAAAATGAAAAGACTCACCTCTCCGCCGCCTTCCGGGAGTCCCATCGGAGATCCGGTGATGTCACGGACATTGACGTCACCGGATTCCTCCCTCCTTCCCCAAGTGGCTCTGTCGGCTAACGAAAGGAAGGGGGGAGGAGTCCGGTGACATTGATGTCCGTGACATCACCGGACTCCTCCCCCATTCCCTTCGTTAGCTGACGGAGCCACTTGGGCCGGTGAGCTTGCCCAAGAAGCACCAAGCTTCTGTCTTATCTTAAACTTATATATATGCACTATGTGGCTCTCCATTAATCCCCCCCCCCCCCCCCCCAACTCGCTCCCAGAAATGTGCAAATTGAAATTTACTGATATTGTGTTGCAATCAGGTCCTTACATGAAATGGAATGGACAGGTGCTGCTACTTCAAATATTAAGCTAATACTTATGTTTAAATCACCCTTAGGGCTTTGCTGTTTTACTATACTATGTAAATACATTTGTAATCCAGCACGTTATTATTCTGAGTTGCCCCACTCAAGCGGTGGCCATATTGAGTGGGGCACGTGAGATTAATAACGTGCTGGATTAGTGTGATCCTAGTTCATTGTATTACTTCATTGCTGTGCTGTATGTGTATAGGCCAATGTAGTTGGATCTGTATGTGCGTTATAATTAATTGAAATTAATCGATTAAAAAGAATTTCGATTAATCGAACACGAAAATTGTAATAATTACCAGCCCTAATTAATACATATTAATAAACTTGTTAAGGTAATTATAAACTCAAATGTCCTCTTATGGACTGTATGTGTAATAATTAGGGATGCACCGATATATCGGCCACCGAAACACATTGGCAAAATTCTGAAAGTGCCACTTTCTGGCCGAAATAGCGGTGCATCCGTTCTTTCTCTCCTCATCGCTGAGTGTAAATAATTGAGAACATAGTATGGTTACTATATCCTCAATTATGAATAAATGGGAAGTGATTTACATCACCTCCTGTTCATTCATGATGGAGGATATAGTAAACATACCATCTCCACAAGTTACCCTGCCCCTGGCCCTCCTGCCAGTCTTACACTTACGTGTCCCCATTACAGGGACATCTGCCCATGAAGCTACGGAGCCATTTCTCAGAAAATCTTCAGAGTCAGGCCCACGCATGCACTGTATGCTTTTCATTCAAGCCCATTGAGATTTTGTACTCCATGCTCCGGTGGAGTATGACCTCTACACATAATTGAATGGAGAGAGTGCACAGTGCAAATGTGAGCTCAGCCAAAAAAATGTTGACAGACTGCTTTTGTAACTGGATAGGCGATATCAAGGACAGGTAAGCAAAAGAATGGGAGGGAGGATTATACTTTAAGCAAGTAATAGTAAAGAAATAATATACACTAGCCCTTTTCCAAACACACTTACCTTTTTTTTGCCACTTAGAGGCTGGTCTGTTGTGTGATCATTACTACCATCTTGTTTCTCCTCCTTATACAATGCAGCTTCTTGTCTAGAACTACAATTTGTATTTAACACAGATTAGTAAAAACCATGCAGTATGTCCTGTATGTAAACTATAGATTACTTAATAAGGTTCAAATTTTCTGATTAAAAAGTCAACAATATATTTCAACTCATATACATTAATTGGAAACTGACCTTTTATTGGTTTACTTGCAGATTGCTATAACTAAGTTTCCCCTTAAAACAGGTGCAACTCTGAAGATTGAATTAAGAAAAGCTCTATTTTATAGTGAAGGTCAAAGATCAGATCTGGAAGTGCAGCTCTAACTGCATGTCAGTTTACCCCATATTAGCACTATATGTCCATACGTTCCAGATATATACATAGTGTTCAAGTAGAATAGGCGTTCGCCAGAGAGGGATACCTTTGACTCAGTTTGGCCAGCTTGAATGAGTATTACAATATGTATACATACACAAACCAAAGGAAGAAAGAAGAGAGTCTGCTGACTCCTGGTCTGGAGAGTTCAAATCTGAGAGTGAAATGTCTGAAATGCAAGGTTACCAAAAAAAATGGGCTTAGGAGACGTAACGGTGATGACATTGGGAGTGTGCTCTCCAAGTGACACAGTGAGGGGCTGTAGAGCAGTTGGCGGTGATGTGTAAGGGGTAGATCGATAGGCGTTTCGAGGCGAAGCCTCTTTGTCAAGCTCAAGCTCAGGTAGATTGCTACGCGTTTCGAGGCGAAGCCTCTTTGTCAAGCTCAGGTGAAGAATGTCATCACCGTTACGTCACCTAAGCCCTCCGACTGAGAGACGACCGCTGACAGCACTTGTCATACAGTAGCCTTCCACAGAGCACTTCTGGCCGCTACGGCTCAGCCTGGCCAGCTGAGTCCCGCCGTGAGAAAGCTGCTCCTCCTTCACAACGAATTCTTTCAGCCGTCCATACCACTGTATTCCACCTGGCCGTACTTCCCCAAGGACTCTATCCAATCACCCCCAGATAATTTCCAAGGACTTCTCAAATGTGAGTTTTTCAACAATCCTATACTAACAGTAGTAGCGCTCTCAATACATAGGTTGTTTCTCTGGTTTGTAGAATAACCTGTCCCCTGGTGTATGCTGTGGTTTTTACTACAAACATCTATGTAACTGCAGGACAAACTGACATAGGGAGCCCAGGGAGGAACCACAGCACGTAACGGGCATGTGGCACGCCCAAAAGAGTTGGATTCCAGTGGCGAATGTAGCTCAGCAAGAAAGTAAAGATTGGAGTTGCCACCTGGCAGAAAGGCAAGTATGAGTAATCTACTTCTGCAGGGTCCTGTTATTTCCCTAACAGTTCCTTAGTGACAGGGTCACTTTAAGCCTCTAAGTTTATAAGCTATGCTCAATAACTTTATTGTTTTTTGTTTTCACTTTTCAATTTTTTTGTATGAATTTACATTGATTACGTTGTATTTGTTTTCATAACACTACACACATCCACATATTAAAAAAGCATTTACCTTTCAAGGCTATATAAAAAAAATAAAACGCTGCCCACGCACACCTTCTCAACAACCCTTCAACCTAAAATCCTACATGTCATCAGTTCAAAGATTTTTGCGTTGTTGACGCTGCTACAGAAGCCCACACGGGATTTGTGGCCTACATTCCTTTCACGTCATGATACTTCCAAGGACCTCTCTTATTAACTTCAGTCCATACGACTTGCTATAACCCTTCAAAGTTCCTAATCACTTACTAGAATACATGGTAAAGTACCTTACAGTTTACAAATCTAAAGCTGGCCATACACTGGTAGATTGTTGCACGAATGTTTATATAAAACATCTTGTCAGAACATTTGATAATGCCATCTTGACAGATGTCATTTGAAATTTCGTTTGATTTTGACATTTTACTTTGGAAATGCATGGAGTTTGTAGAACGAAAATCACATTCACTATTACAATTTTGTTCTTTCGACAAAGATTTTCCGTCCTGCTCCTTTGATTTTTTTTTTTTATCACTGCGGCTGAAATAGATTGTCGAATTAACCCAATTAACTATTCGAAAATCAAACACACATTTTTTCAAACAAAATTCTAACCATGTATACCCAGCTTAACTCTTCAGATTATTCAAAACTGAACTCCAGCCTTACCCTTTTCCCCACACTTTTAACAAGTTCTCTCTTGTGCTGAAACTGACTACTCCTAATTCCCAGCAAACTTGCATCTCCACAGTATAACCCATTTGAAACTGCAGCAGCTATCTTGAGCCCACTTTCATTTTGAGTTCACCTTCATTTTCCATCAGAATGACTTTAATCATGCATTAATTACTTCTCCTCCTGATCCATAATGCTGTAGGTTCACCTCTCACAGCTATTAGCCTTCTCTGCCATCAATCATTTTGTTACAGATCATTAAGTGAAAGAACACATCCTCGGAACCCCTTTAGTTGTGGCTGTTCAAGCAACCAGTCAGCAGAATGCTCAGCTAAAGACACAACACCCAATGGCCAGTAGGGAGAAAACCACTGAAGGAATTCCGGGGGGAATTGTTCTTTTATACAAAGCTGTTGATAGAAGATCCCTGGTGGGTTGCTGTGACATTTACAGGAGGCTGCTGGCCCCTTCCACCAACCAAACTCAAAGCATCACTGGGTATAAAATAAGGTATGTTATGGAAACAGAAAGGTTTTATTCAAAAATTTAATTAACATATTGATTAAGAGGAGAGGGAGGAACCAGATGAGGCAAAAAAAGCAGATAAAGTTTGCCTTTAAATTTTAGGGTATATGTTTAAGGATTAGTTTTAAGTTAGGATGTGGTTAAGGAGTAAGTATTAGCGTCAAGGTAATTATTAAAGAGACAATGAGGGGAATTTATCAAAACTGGAGCAGACAAAATGGAGCAGATTTGCACGGAAACCAATCAGCTTCTCTCTCTCTTTTTCAAATCTTACCTGAACAAACTGAAGAGAGAAGCTGATTGGTTGCCATGGGCACCTGCTCCAGTTTTGATAAATTCCCCTCAATGTCTTTTGTCGATTGAGTGGCAGTGTCTCCTGACAGCTCACCCCCAGAAAGGTACTCTCATCCATTAGAGCTCTATTGCCACCCCCCTGTTCCGTCATGTCCTAATGGAGCAGGGCTACCAGGTCTGGGGGGGAACATGTCACAGTACTAGGGCCTGAGCGGCAAATCACCGAGCCCTAATACTATCACATGGGGAGGCCCTAATACTGTCTTTCACCCTGGTCAGCTATCACTTTGCTCTGAATGGGAAGGTAAGATTATCTATTTAACTGCTCCGTTTCAGGGTTAGGTTAAGGTTTAAATGTTGGTGGGGGACTGCATCTTTAGGCAACACTTTAGCAGGATTTCAGCGAGCTCTAATACAGACTGAAAAGGGCAAGTGACCAATGACCAATATACAAGCGGATGTTTTCAAGGAACTGACAGGTCAGTCAGTCAGTATTAGCATTCTTCATCTCCACAGTATATTATGTTCTGAAAAGTCCAAAAGGTGAATCTCAGTTTAAATTTAAATTTTTCTTTATTGTGTTTTTAATGTTTTTTTTTTCTTTGGTTAACCTACAAGTTGAGGAACATTATATAGGAATATATATCTGCAACTTGAGAAAAAAGAAAAAAAAAAGCATGCAACGTACCTTATAAGTTCATATTCACTAATGGACATATTGCTGACTGTTCTTTGGTGATAACTGGCGGCATTGTGAAGTTTTAAATCACCACATATTTGAGAAATTCTATTTAAAAAAGGAAAAGTAAAATCAATAATTTTTTAATTCATCAATTCTATAAGTTGGAAAATCATAGAAAACACATAGCGACAACAGAAAAAAACAAGAAAAATACTTTTGTTATCCTTTACTGAATGTAAATTGTCAGACATAGGAGCCTGTAAAAGGGGAAAGCACAATTTCAGTTTGGCTGTGATGGTGATAGCACTGAAAAGGAATGGGGAAATCAATTTGCCAATTACAGTAATCATCTCTTTTTGTCTTTTTTGACAATTTACTGAATAGCTACACCCTCAAAGTCAAAGTGCGGGGTAACATGTAAAAGAAATGTATGTTAAAGCTATGTAGGCTGCTGATATATGTAAAATGCTAGATGATTTGCTGTCATGCTGATCCACTGGTTTGAAAACAAAATAAAATAAGTATGCAAATCAAAAGCTCTAACCTTACTCTAACTTCCTTTGCACCATGCTTGTTTCATGGCTGTGACTAAGTCCTGAAGCCCACAACAGCTTGGGAGTTAGCATTTTCTTAAAGAAGTCAGCAATGGCAGCCATCATTACTAACCTGTACTCCTAAAAATGCCAGCTGCCTGGCTATCATGCTAATTCAGTGCATTCAGTTTTTTTTCTGAACCACTGACCTATAACACATGCAGATTCGATTTCTATCTAAACCAGGGGTGGGGAACCTCTGGCCCTCCAGCTGTGGTGAAACTATAAATCCCATGAGGCATTGCAAGATTCTCACAGCCACGGGCATGACTCCCAGGGACAGCTGGTGGACCGGAGGTACCCCACCCCTGATCTAAACAAACCAATGTAAGCCTTCAAGCTGCTCCTACCTGCAGTGTGCCAAGAACAGGCTTGTCTCATCTATCTCTAGTAGGTTTTTGTACATGAGTTGAAGCAACCAACCCACATTCTCCTCCACTCTACCATTGCAATTCTAGAGTATACGATTAAGCACACTTGTTGGGTGAAACCAGTCAGAGCAGTGAATTGGCTGTTTCGACTCTTGGATGCTGGAATTGTGTGGCTGGTGTGGCAGTGATTTTGTGACCGTTTATAACTACAATTAAATAGCATATAAACGGTAAAGTACACCCGTCCTGAGAGAACAGAGGCTACAGTTGAACTTAATAATTTTCAATCACATATTCAGAGCAAGCAATTTGTAGAAATTTCATAAGGGTGTTAGAAATCCTCATCTCTATACTTGTCCTGGGTTATTAACTTAAACGGTGTTAAAGCCAAAGCATAAGCATGACAACCAACATTTTCAAACTGAAATGTCAGCAATGGCAGCCCCCATAAGGAACTAATGACTTTAAATAAGTCTTTAAATGATACTTAAGATGTAGAGTATGACCATTTGGTCTAAATGGGTTAAGAAACCCTGTAAAAAGAGAAAAAGGTCATAATTGAGGTCATAGGGGGAACTGAATGTTCAGACTGATTATTATGACATGTCTACCTTATGTAGGCCTACTTATGAAAGATTCAGATTTTCTCCTAATTTAGCTTCACAGACTTTTCGTATGCATGACACTTAAATGGTGTTAAGGGGTCAGATGTCAACTTAAACCAGTTGTTGCCTGTCTACAGCCTGACGTTACACACTGCCTACTCAGGAGCTAGGAAACAGTGTTTGAGATCAGAAAGCTGACAAGCTAGCAACTCTAAAGCCCCGTTCACATTGAGCGATTTATCGCGCGGTAATTCCCGCGATATCGCGCTCCAATGCATTTCAATGGGGCAAAGGGTCCCTTTTTGGAGCGATTTTTCAATGCAAGCTTGAACGCGATGTCGCGCGGCAAATCTCGTGATATCGGGCAGTATACAAATCGCGCAACAAACGCGCAATTTGCATATCGCGCAGTGGGAACGGGGCCTAAGGGTATGGGTCGATGGGTTTTTGTTTGTTGCAAGTGGGTTTTGCATTTCCCTTCCAGTCTAAAGAAATGTAATACTCTCAGGACAGGTGCGATTGACCTGCAGTTTACCTCTTTCCGACTGAATGAATTCTGAATTATCTCAGCTGTGTCTCAAACGGACACTGTATAACTGTGCAAGACTGAAGGTAAGGCTTGAGCTCATCTTTAATTTTTTAGGTGTACTGGCTGAGATTCTCAGATACTCACAACCAATTAATCTGACTGATGTGGAATGGAGAACATTTTGGCAGATTCCGTTTGGCTCATCTTTCTTCTTGTAGTTTCTACAGAGTCCATTGAGGGACACAGCTCTAAAGAATTCTGAGACGTAGGGTTATGCTGCTTCTAGAGGCAGGAACATAACCCCATGTCTGAGAATTCTTCAGAGCTGTGTCCCTCAATGCACTCCGGGAAAAGGATTTTACAGGAAGAACAAAATCCTAGTTTTAAAAAGTTGTTTGAGGGATATAAACTGACACAAGCCTAATAATATAAATACATTTGAATCTACTGTACTTTAGAATATGCATAACAAAATGTGCCATATAGCATGATGTACAGTATATCAAAAGACAACTCACATACACTATATTCATCAATTGTACGGTATTACTTACTTTAGATGGTAGAGCTCTGACAGACTTTTACTTTCCACAACGTCATGTGCTATAACCTCTGCCAGTTGGAGAACAGGGAGTGTCAAGTGTGTATACGAGATGCTGTGCAATTCTTTCACAAGTAGATCCAAGTAGTAGAGGCTGTACGTCTGCAGAATAAGACAGCACAAGATGATTTATTTACATAGAAATTACGCTGATCAGATCTGATTTCCCTATTAGTGAAATATATGCTACAGAACAGTAAGTGATTTTGAGAAAAACAAAAAATGTATATGGCTGCGTCAGCATTGATTCAGTGACTGCTGAGAAACACCAAAAAGAAGTCAAGTGGAATGGATGACAATCAGTTCGATGAGTATCAATGAGGACCTTCCATTGGGATCAGTCCAACTCTCTACAGCTGGTTAATGAGTGCATGTGGAATTCACATGGCTCTTCATCCTGCTGAAGGAGTAAATGGTTTTGTATTGGTTTAAAATCACAGCATGTGACTATAACATACATGAACCAGGTAATCTTGGTGCTATCATTTTGATGTAGATGCCCAAGAGTTTTAGCATGAAGGCTGAAGCAGGATGGCCTCTGATGATATAGGACTAGAGGTGCACCGAAATGGAAATTTTAAAACCGAAACGAAATTGAAATAAAAAAATTGTCAGGCCGAAACCGAAAATGTTTTTTATTTTAATTTTTTCGATTTTTTTTCAATATTTTATTTATTTTTTATAAACTTGTTAATTTTTTATATTTATTTTTATTTATTAATTCATTTTTTATTAAATATTTTAATTTTTTACATTACTTTTAGGGGCTTTGGGGGAAATATTAGAGGTCTAAACAGACTCCTGATATTTCCCTTTTAAAATAGAAAAAGAGATTGAGAACACAAAGTCCTCTATCTCTTTTTCTATGTCCCCTGTGAGTGTTCCTGTTCATTGATAACATGAGTACATTGTTTGTTCACTATATCAACTACAACTATGAATGAACTATGGTGATGTAGATCACTCCCCATTCTTTCATAATTGAGGATATAGTTAACATTCCATGTCCTGAATTATGTACAAACCTTGTACCTTCTCTTCTCTCTGACATGCTGTCACAGGAGGCTGATCGAGCGGTGTAGGGAGGAAAGCCCAGCCTCCTGTGACATCGCTGTCTCCGCCCCCACACCGCTCTGCCGGACTGTGATAGGCGGCTGAGCGGTGTGGGAGGAGACGCCGGCTGCTCACTGCGCTCTCCTCCCGCGGCGCTCAGCCGGCTATCACAGTTTCTCTCCTCCCTGCTTGGACATAGAGCAGTGCCCAGCAGGGAGGAAAGCAATCAGGGATGCGCCGATTTATCGGCTGGAAAATTGCACTTTCGGCGTTTTGCCAAAAGTGCCATTTTCGGCCGATATGTTTCGGCGGCCGATATATCGGTGCATCCCTATATAGGACACTATCAATATATCACACTTTCATGGCAAGCCTTTTCTAAAGTACATAGAAACAAAAAAAAAATGTCACAGATGCTCCTTACGCTGAATGAAGAGAAGATGTTTTAATCCTTATATTTTGTCAATTCATATCACTTGACTGCATAAAAAAATCCTTAATTGCTAAATATATGAGGAATAACTTGCCACAAGTTAAAGGAAGGTACCAAATTGTGTCTGAACAGTCTCTATTTTCTCTTCTATGAGCCCTTACACTCCAGTATTGAAGCAAAAACTTTCATTTCCAACTCTGGCACACTTTCTCGCCTACAAAAGTAATTTAACTTTATCACTGGCAAGATTATTCAAATTGTGCATGCTCTGAAAATAAACTATACTTTACCCTAAAAAGTATGGGAACAACCTGAGAACAGAATAAAGTGCCAATATATAGTATAATGTCACCTGAGGTTTAATAGAATGGAAGAATTGTACAATGCCAAGGTGATGAATTATCAGGTAGATACTATCATTCTACCAGTATGAAGAGTTGACAAATGAATTAATGAGTATTGACAAAAACAGTTATTATTCAGCTGTCTTTTACAATAAATATGTAGCACACAATGCCCCAGCTGTATACATTTATGATTTATTAGAGTCTCTGAGTCTATCTGCAACATAGGGCTTAGAAATATTTTTTTATGATATATGCTAGTATAAGCGTTATGATATACGCTTTTTTATGATTACAGATAGCTGCAGTTAAGATGCTGATTTTTTTTTTAATGTACTGGTAATTAAGATGAACTAACTGTAGTGTAATTTATAATTTAGTATGATTAGTTCTGTCTTCTGCTGGTCACAGTTCTGTATAGTACTTACTGGTTTTACAATGGTACTTCTGTTCAGGACTTGGGAAGATGTATCTTGTTTAAAGGCATCTCTAAGTTCTTCAGGGCAATCGTACAAAGCCCACTCCTCTGCATTTGAAGGTAAAACGTCAATCGGTCCTTTACGCTTAGGCTTCTCCTTGATTGTGACAGGCTAAAAAAAAGATTTTGAGGAAATTATAGTCTTAAAAAAGGCAGAGATTTTTGGCAGCAGAGACATACAAAGTCTATTCTGCCCTTAACACCTGTGTCACCTATCGGTCCATTCAGCTCAACTCGCTCACAGACCTAGTAGCTCAGGTCAGGTCATAGATTCAGCAGGGATGTGGTACCCCTTTGTAATGTCACTGCTGAAGATCTAAACTTTTCACAATAGACCGGATCCTCCATTGGCTGCAAGCAGTGGTAGTGATTCTGGTGCTGGCTAGATGGAAAAAACAATGGCATATGTATTCTGTGCACATGCTCAATTCCTAGTACCGCTGCTTCTTCGTTCCAACCAGCTACTAAATTTGCATGTATACCGTATTTGCCGGCGTATAAGGCGACTGGGCGTATAAGACCACCCCCTAATTTTTCTGTTAAAACATAGGTTTTGGGCTATACTCATCATATAGAACGAGTATAGCCCAAAATAATGTTTAAATACACCCACTAACATCCATGGCGGTATTCCCGAGTGTGGCTCGGGGTTAATTTTCAGTACCATAAGCGGTAACCCCGAGCCACACTCGGGATTACAGTCTCTTACCTTGTCCACGATCCCCGCTGTGTCCTCCATCTTCCGCGCCTCGCGAGCGTCCGCGTCGCAGGCATGCGGAACCGGCGGGAATTTTAAAAGTTAAAAAAGAAATAGAACAAAAAATATATAAAATAATGAGACCGCAAGGAAGGCTAATCTGTCAGCCTGCTGGATGTGCGGTAATACTGTATGTACGGTAGCTTCGGCTACATACAGTATACCGCGCTGAGCCACGGCAGGCTTTGTACTCATTAATAGAATACATTGCTCGCCCTGATTGGCTCAGCGCGGTATACTGTATGTAGCCGAAGCTACTGTACATACAGTATTACTGCACATCCAGCGGTATTGTATACCCGGCGTATAAGACGACCCACGATTTTCGGGGGATGATTTTAAGTCTAAAAACTCGTCTTATACGCTGGCAAATGCGGTATCTTTTTTTTTTTTATGAAAGAGAATGGTTCTACAAATTTTACAGATTACAAATCTTTATTCTAAAACTAGAGCTTCATTTTACTCTCCATACAAGTTCATACATTTTACATACAGATCTTGAGAATGATATTATTATCATTACTAGTTTCTTTTTAGAAGATAAGTTATATACTAGCCCTTTAATTAATAAAATGTAGCCTCTGTAGCACCTGACAAAGAATGTGTCATTCATTATGCAGGGGCCAGTAATAGGGCACTCTGCATTTGTCTGCGTAGACAAGCCTCTCATTATGAATGAAAGCCACATGTGCGTTCAAGAACTTTTCACCTTTCTTGCTGAATAAAACAACAGTAATTCCATGTATGAGAGATGATTGGTTCACAGGTCACAGGTAAGTATTTCATGACTTTCTATTATACATTGTATCTCTTGCAGGAAAGACTACATAACAATGGTATTTCATTGTTACAACCAAGTGATGCTTTCAAGGCTACCAGGCATATTTATGTGCACAATAAAACATATCAGTTTTTTAGATAAACCAAGTTAGTTTTTCCTAGGCTAATGTGAAGGAGTAACTGGCTGGCTCTGGCAAGCGGGTACACCTTCAGTGATATTACGCTGATGATCAACAACATATTTTACATTATTTCATCCATTTACACTAGATACAACAACTTGCTTATTCAAAAAAGCAATGAATGTAGTAAAGAGCTCAGAATCCATCTTGTATTAGTTGTATTTCAGCAGTGAATTTTGATTGGTTGTTTTAGGTTATTGCATTCTCCACTGAGCTTTGCTCATCACTTTGTTTGCTGAAGGCAAATGTGTCTTAAAGGAGAACTATGAGGTGAGTGCTTTTCACTCATCCTTAGTAGTTGTAGCCGACCTGTGACAATGAGACTGTCACAGGTCGGCTCAGTAGATCGGGAAGTGAGCGAACACATACCGGTGTTCGCTCACTTCTCGATCCTGTCACGGCTCTCTGCCGTGACAGGGGAGGGACAGGATTCCCCCCTCCCCGCTCCGATCCACCAGCGCTGACTGGCGGAACGGACAGGGGAGGGGGCGAGTACTTCCACTGGGAGTCATGGCTGTCAGAGTCTTGCAATGCTTAATGGGATTTGTAGTTGCACCACTGGAGGGCCGGAGTTTGCCTACTCATGCTCTATAGTATTTCCATTCACTCCTCCCCCAGCAGCTACATAAAAGGTTATGTAGAGTGGAGAAGCGCAAAAGCTGGGCCAGCACCGACTGTAAACAGACACTCCTAGGAGAGGAGAGGGCTATGCTCTTAAGAAGTAAAATTTGCTAGCAAGTTAAATTTTAATATAATGTTATTGAAAGGAAAAACGATAAGCATATAAAATACTTGATTTTTCTGTGCTTTTACCTGCATTTTTTCAAGTTGGTGACAGGGTCTCTTTAATGAAAGACAATTGACTGCTGAGGGACCCTGCATACAGTACAACTGTCTATTATGTTATACCAATAAATAAGCCTATGCATGGCTATGTAAAGATTCAATTTAAGATTCTGAACTTAGTATTCATCTGGTACATTGAGTCACATACACATTACCTCACTTGTTTCTTTCTTTCCTTTCTCTCTACGGGATGAAGCAGAATGTGGATTTTGAACAGAGGGGGGATTTTTTTGTAATGATTTCATGAAAAAAGCTGCTGCAGGCAATGACACCTGATGTGAAAAGATAAATCAGATTACTTTAGAAATTATGCATTAGAACAGTTTGCATTATTGATATTGGAACAAATACAAAGTCACAAATACAAAGTTGTTCTCAAAAATACATTATTTCCTCCAACAGTCAAGTTTTCAAACTGTACGACCACTGTTTCATATATTATAGACCTGTTAGCTGGAATGGCTACTGTTATTGCCCTTCTCTAACCCAGTTCTGGTGTGCATGGGATTACAAGAAGGAAATAGAGGTTCCTAAATGATTGTATTTACAGTGGAACTTTTATTTTTGTGGAGGCTTTTGATTGCAGAAGAGACATACAGACATACAGTACTATCTCTCTTCTGCAATAATGATTTTTCATGCGCAGCTCAGTAAGCATTTTCATCATCTTAGGGATGAATGAACTCCCGTACAAGCCCGGGAGTTACCACATCCTGGCAAGGCCTGTCAATATAGCTAAAGATCCAAAACCCAAAATAAGACTGGACGAAGATATCAGCGCCAGAGAGGGAGCTCTCGGACCTTGCAGCGCTGGATGGTAGGCAAATTTAGTTCCAACCTGAAAACAGCCATTGGACAGGATTTTTACTATTAGCCATGTAAACGTTTAACTCACCTGCAAATAAAGAATTGGATAAACCACCAATGCCCCACTTTTACTTTAACCAGTACCCTGGGATTTTTTTCTAAGGACTGAGCTGCAATTACAGAAACAGGATTCAGATACCTGCTGGTTCATAATTCTGTAGCAAATGAGATCCTTTCTTTCTACTGTTGCTATTTCTTTGTGTGCCATTGCCCATCAACTGCTTCTATAATGGTTTGGTTGTCAATCTGTTCCATTTATGTCTAAGTCCTTGACAATAAGTATTTATTACACAATCTGTTTTGGAGGCAACCATTCAACTTTCCGTTATGGGCACTTATTAGGGACAGATATACCATGTGTGCAGACCATGCAGTTGCACAAGGGCCCTCTGGAACCTAAGGTTCCATTTATACAAAAAGGGCACGTTGGGACCCCTTTCTGCTGTCGCATGAACCTGGACAAAGGCAGATGAGAAGGGGCAGACATTCTTCACGATGGTCTAACCGTGATCCTGGTTTGTATTGTCCAAATGGTGTCAGGAAGTGAGTACCTCCTTTTCCAGCTTCACCATCAATGAGACATGCAGAATGCTTTTCCCATTACCTTGTTTTCAAACAGGGGAACTTGGGGGATATTGTCCACCATTGGCAGTTCTATAATAAATGTGTGCACACTGATCCCTTCTACAAAACAAGATACAAAGTGCATTGCACTACGCTAAATATTACTCCACCTACTAATAAAATGCTGACAAACAACATGTATAACGGTTTACACTAAAAAACAAACTCTTGATAAACAAAAAGCACTGCTACATTGTACCTAAAGCCTAAAGTATGAAACATATTAATGGGGACATTCCTGCTAGTTAGAAAACCAACTAGTCCCTGCTCTATCCAGATTTTATATAAAAAATAGTGTATACTTTTAAGTAAACAGTATGGTCATCTTATTTTTTGGGGAGCCCTTAGGTGAGGGTGGAAATGAGGACAGAAAGCAAAGCAGACAATAGGCCCAATTCACAAAGTTAAAAAAAAAAAAGATCAGGACCTTTATTTTAGCAATGTGTTTTTAATTTCCAAGTCTCGTTGGACTGTCCCTTTTTTGAAAATGTTGATCCATATCCTAGAGTGCTAGCTTCAGGAAATGAGCCTAATCGTAGATTGAAAAAATACATTTACCAAGATTCTAATAAAATGGACATGCACCAATAGTACACATACATTGTAGTTTGTAAATTGTATTCATTTTACTTTTTTAGGCAATACTAGTGTCTACTTAAAGGTAGCTTGCATGGAATGGGTTCAGTGGTAAGAGGAGTGGGGGATACCTAGTGCATTACCATATCTTATTTTCTTACCCCTGTGCAATCTCTACACTGAGCTCTACCAGGTCACATCTTCTAAAAGTCTATGATACCTGGATGTCAGAGATGTCCCATCAATTTAAACATCTTTCTAAAATCTGTGATCATCATCATTGATCACTTGCATATATAATACAAACAAAATAGAAAGAACTTATTGTGTATGTTAACAAATTTTACTTTTGCAGTACTAAAGAAGGTAATCGTCCACCGTACCTGCCAAATATGAATTATATATGCATATGCCATCAGGGAGTGCTGCTCATGATTAGGTGAACCCTGACCGCTGAGAGCAGCTATTAGAGTGTGAGCTCGCGCTAAGGCATCTAGCTGTTTAATGCTCTTCAAATCTTCCAGGGAATTACAAGGGTTCCCGGGCTGTTCTCCAGATCCTGTCTCGGTGACCTCAAGGCTTGGAACTTGTTCACTTGCTGGCCCTTTATTCTGGGAAGATTTCTTTCTAGGCTTTGCTTTAATTTTCTGAGTTTTACCTGCTTACAAAGAATGGAAGAAATGTAGCATGCATTTACACAGCTAGTAAACCTAAATTACAAATAATTCTAGTAAAAAAATAAAACGAAATCTACATCTCAAAGTGGTATACATAAAAAAACAGACAAACTGCAACAATACATTGAAATAAATAGAGCCCATCAGGACTTCAGATAGTTGGAAAACGTTTTGCTCCTGGGTTGAGACACTTTCATATACAGAGCTGAATTTAAAGGCTGGAAACACACCTTTACATTTTGGTGCATTTTCCCCCCTGAAATCAATGGGAACGTATTACAATGTATATCAACGCATGTCGATGTGCATTGCTGTGTGCTTAGATGTGTTTCACAAAGCATTTTGCATCAACACGCAGTGATATGTACTATGAAAGCCGTTGACATGCACCTTGATTTAAATGGAAAAACGCATCAGGGAACAACGCAAAGGTAAGTTTCCAGTGCACAGTGTATTTAAAGCCATTGTTTTTTTTGGGGGGGGAGATAGAGTGGTATAGGGTTAGAACCTTCCAGTTTTTTTTGCTGTATCCCCATTGGTGAAATTTATCCTCAATATGTGTCAGGGTGACTGTTGTTACCGGGACTGATATTAAGGATTAACCAAAATTCTGTGTTGTCTCCAGAACAGTAATAGAAGGGAATAGAGGGGCACAGATGACAAACAAGCTTGGTGGGGTTAAAAGAAGTCCTTACTCTGTGCAAAATAAAGAAAAATAAAGGCTTTGTCTTTAGATATACTATAAGGCAGCCTGTTTAAACCAAAAAAAAGGCTAAAACCATAGGCAGCACCTAGCAAACAAACTTAAATCCAGGTATGGTTTATAATAGTATTATAACTATCAAATATATACATATAATTTTTTTTTTTTTTTTTTTTTTTTTTTTTTTTTTTTTTTTTTTTTTTTTTTTTTTTTTAAACATGCACATCTCACCTTCCTCTGCATTACTGGAGAACTTCATATGAAGCAGTATATCCACTGCCCAGTCAAGCATGTTCATAGCATGGCTTAGAGGAAACTGTTTGCAGTACAACCATTCTGCCAGTTCCAGAAGATACTCTACTTTCTGCCAATCATTTTCTGGTTTCTTTAAAGAAAAACACAGAATATATGTTGTATGTAAGGGACCTCTGAAGCTTCAACCCTGACATATTTTTTTCAAAACTATGGTATACAAACCTTCAAAGCGTCAACTGCATTCATATAGCAGGCTAACTGCTCACGGCTGCTTCTGCAGGTTTTGGCAACATGATGCCAAATGTATGACACATAGTCTTCACTTTCATCCTTGAACTTCTGGATGTCCATGAAAAAGTTATGACCTAAACGTGCCTTTACAAGAACTCGGTGTTTGAAGATGACACTGAGAAAGGAGAGATGCATTACTAGATAAATTAAATCAATAAAAGCAAATTGACCAATAAAGATAAACAAACCTAGCCTGACTGAAAAAAACAAACCAGTATGCCAAAACTGAGCAAGAGCATTACAATTTTCTAGAATGTAGAATGTAAACATTTGAATATAACCACTTCTTGTATACTCCACCTATATCAAGATTAGATGCTATGGGTGAACTCCGATCATGGTACTGCTTAATAAAGAATTGTCTCTTTTGGGTGCCGGTCCTACAAGCTTTAACTGGGGTTGAATGTTGTCTAAAGCTGAATTCATGGTAAACAGCTAAATAAACATTACATATACATTTATGGAGTCTTTTTTTCCTGCCAATCATATTTTTGTCCTTCTAGTCCTGAAACATACATATTCTCAGTAGACAGCAGAGTTAGGTTGGTAACCGTTTTTTTCTCTATTGCAGTTAAGCAATACAGCCAGGTCAACCACTCTGCCCCCCCTGATTGGATGGAAAAAGCAACAGCTTTTTCCTTTGGTCATTATTAGGGATGCACAGCTACTTTTTGAGCACCAGTGCAGATACTTGGCATTTTCATGAGAACTAGAAGGGTTGCAGCAGTTGCAGCTGGGACATGGCTCTGGCGCTCCACCACTGTCACTGTTTAGAAAAACTGTCACATGACAATAAACAAAAATGTATCAGTACTCGTACTTGTAAGTATTCGGCAAGTACCAGTACTCGTATTCGCAAAACTGGTATCTGTGCATCCCTTTATTTATTTTTATAAAAACAAAATCATACATTAAAACAGAGATGTACTAATCCCAGGAGCTCCGTGTGCTCCTTACAAATGACAGCGGCCTCCTAACTTTTTCTCTAGTCTAGTCTTGGAGCTCAAAAGTATCGGTACATGTTCTCGTACTTGTACCGAGTACTGTACTTGGTATCTGTGCAACCCTAGTCATTATACTGTATTCCTTGTCAGAAAATGTGCAAGGGGGGATCCTACTTGGACCATAGAGACATCCTCTACCAGCAGAAAAAAATCAGGTCTCCTGCTATGCAAGACAGGGCTGTGCTGTGTGGCAGAACTGTGTAGGTCTCCAAACTGGATGGATAGAAATACAAATGATTTGGTGGGTAAAGCATCTCCATTATATGTATTTAACATGTATTTCACTTTTTTTGCCTGAAGTTCCGTTATAATTAATAGGTAGAGAGAAACAGAACAGAAGCCACTTACAGTCTGTGTCTAGTACGTGGCAGAATGTTGATGGCTTCATCCAGCACTTTGAGACCCAATTCCCACTCACTCTTATCTGCATGTAATATGAAAAGCAGCTCATACAGTCCAGCTTTCAGGCTCAGCTCCTCATTATACCCTTCTGATTCACTGGAGGTGTCTGCAACAAAATAACATCACGTAGTTTAAAGACAAAGAGGTGTATGCACAACAGCAGCTGTGCAATTAATGGATTTCAGTGACGGGACCTGACAAATGTGGTAATTCAAATATATTAAGAGTATAGTAACAAGATACAAGGTGGCCAAACTACAATCGCTTTGTTTTTGGCCCAAAATTAATTTTGCAGCCGCTAATTAAAACAAATACTTAAGAGGGATCAGTAATGATGAGTCTACATGTGACAGCCAATGATTAGCCATGGTCCTCCAGAAGGTTGACATTTTCACTGACAATTTCTTGCTAACTAGAAGGCATAAATCTGATCAACTCTATACCAGCAGAGTACATACATATTTAACAGACCTGCAGATCATAACAAGAATATGACCAACAAGCTTCTTCCATAATTTTAAAGATGACAACAACCATTGTTGGCAGCTGTAAATAATACTGTACCATTTGGTTCTAATTGGTCAGTTTAAGAAAGATTGCACATACAAAACACCCTTCTTAAACTGGCCATAGACAATACAGTCTGATTGTACAATATCTCTTAATCACTTTTAGATTTACTAAAACTATGCAAGTTAAATGGAGAACTATGAGGTGAGTGAAAATCACTCATCCTCATAGTTCGAGCCGACATGTGACAAATAAACTGTCACACGTCGGCTCAATAGATTGGGAAGTGAGCAAACGCATACCGTCGCTTGCACATTTCTCGATCATCTCACTGCAGAGGGCGGGCACAGCTGGCTCTGCCTCCAGATAGGCAGAGTCAGCTGTCATTCACGCAGCTGGGCGGATCTCGACAGCATTGTCGGAATCCGTCCGGGCTGTGGCGGTCTCAGTATACCGCGACTTGTTGCTCGCAGTATACTGAGCTTTGGATCACGGGAGAACTATGGGGAAAAACACTGACCCCATAGTTCTCTTTTAACTTAATAATTGTTCACAACATGCATGCACATTTCTTGTACCGGGAAGCATTGTACTTCTATTACATCGAACCGTTGCGTCTGTGTTTTGGAGTAAAAATTTTTTGTCAAAAAGAAAAATTGTCACCGTATATGGAACAGTCTTTTGTAGAGAAAAAAGTTTGAATAAGGAATTGACCACATCTGGTAAGTATGACCATGTCATATTGAAATATTTCTGCAATACGGTTTGTAAATATTGCAATACTTTATACATAGTTGCCTTGAGAGGATTTTCCAAACTGGAGTTGTATTTGCTTTTAAGAGAAGAAGAGTTACCCAGAGCTCTAGACAACTGCGTTGGCCTGCAGATCTTACAAGGGTTTTTTTTTTTTACGAACGTACATGTGAGCAATTCTGATTCCAACAACATATCATTAACCAGCCTTTCGGATCATCCAACAAACTATAATTTTTCTTGTCATTCATTAATAATAGACAGCAGTTTCAAAGCATGGAAACTATTGATTTACACTAAATTAACTCAAGGCTTGTCAACCCTTAATGAATATTTTCCTTATGCTAAATCTAACAAGGCTTGACAGCTTAAGACATATAATGAGCAGGATTACTAACTCCGGATGTACCTTTAGGATTACCAGGGTCATGCACTTTACGGTTTTCAATGTCCATCGTAGGCCACAGGTGAAATACGGTGGTATCGTTCTCTGACCCCTGAAAAAAAGAAAATACATTATTCACAATGAGGTCTTCGGGGAAGCACCTAAGCACAAATGTGGAATAGATATACCTTCTAAAAATCTCATTACTTTTCATTTTGGAAAATTTGAAATAAGAACAACTGAATAATTAACTGGAATACTTTGAATATGGTATACAGAATACAAATACTGTTTGAAGTATATATGTGAATGTTTTCATGTATCCTTTTTAAGACTTTATCACTCATCCAAGTGGTGTCATGAAATTTGTCAAGGCAGATGTTGGTTGTCCAAGAACATGGTAGGAGGTATGAAAGTTTGCTGAAACATGTCCCTTACAGTAAGTTCCTTACAGGGAGGCATGGTCATGAATTTGTATATGTGTATATTGTGTCGTTAGGATGCATATAAATACATCTTAACAATAGTCTTTAGTTGAAAGCGATGTACAGTATTTTCATTTTCTTTCTGTTTTATTTATATGTTCTGGACTCTAAAAAAAACTTTAAAATTTTTATTTTTATTTTTTTTATTCGTGTAAATATGAAATACTGCGCTTGAACATTTTATATTTACATTTCTATCCAGTAGGTAGAGTACAAAACTTATTTTTTTCTTTTAACATTGTCATCAGGGTAATCTTAGTTACTCTTGCCAAATGACTCCTAGAAAAGCCATTTTGTTTCCCTGTAGGCCCTGCAGTCCTCCATTCTTATTTTTAAAAAAATGTGCATTCTACGCATTTTAAATCCAGCACTGTTCTGGCTGGTCTGGTCACGTCATGGGTTCTTCTACTACAAAGCGCTGCTTTTGCATAATTAATGTAAGCACTGCACCGTCTAGAAGAACAGGGAGTCCAGGCCAGCATAGTGATGCACCCCCAAGGGGTGTGTTCATGATGGTCTAGCCTTAGAGCAATATTTATTTTAGATGCTTTTGGCAGGAACTGTATCCATTTTTTAGATAATGTCCAACACTGACCACAGGTTTACTAATGCTGTGGTGTGGGCTCTATGGTAAAACTACCAGTAGTGAGTGACATTTTAGTGGCAAGAGACAAGGTCAGCATTCACTGCCACTGGAGAGTTCAATACAAAGTAACATGTGATTCTTTACCTGTTTCTGTTTGGTCTCAGCTTCATTCAGGGCCTTTATAACACAAATAACAGAATCCTTAAGAGATTCGCGTTCTTTAGCAGATTTTGTCAGCGGAGAGCAAGCATGCCAGAAATGTTTAGCTCCCTGTAGTGTCAGAGAGGGACTGCCCGCTTCACCTCCATATCTGAAAAGACCACATTACAACATGAAGCAAACATGAAACATTAAAATCAAACATGCAATATACTACGGCTAGCCTAGAGGTGGTGGAGAGGGGTCAAGAGGTGTCCAACCTTGACTGTTACGTTCCCCACACAATCTGTACGAAGAATAGCAAGACATTTGCTATCATTCATATCTTTCTTTTGCCTACTGAGCCTTTATCATGATGTTAAAATAGATCTAAACCCAATCACTAAACAATACCATGTTAATGTAATAGCAGAATGTGTTCTAAGTCATTAAAAAAAAAAAAAAAAACTGATGTCTCCCTCCACTACCTTCTTTTCAAGCACAACCATACCCCCTCTACTGGATAAAGTTCAGAAAGATCTTACTAAATTAGTGAAATTCAAACTCTTGGTTGGGTAGGCCGGTGGTCTCAAATATGCTGTAGATCTTATAAAGCTTTTGTAATCTGCCTATTCCAGCTCAACCTCCTCATTCGCCATGGTTAATAAAATACAATTGAAGCTTTATGTGTGGCAACTCTGGAAGGCCAGGTTTGCACACTCATACTTGATCAAAAACAGAACTAGTGGAGGTATGGGCTATATAGATTTGAAGGACAACTACAAAGCAGTACATTTCAATCAACTGAAACATTGAATCCAACATACCTTCAAGAAACCATTGGTGACATAGAAAAAATATGGTTCCCAGGGGTAACCTTTATGTTCATTAGCAAGTTCCTTTCTAATAAGATACCTGATCACAACAAATCTCCTACCATTAAAGTCTGTATCTAAGCTTGAAATGCCTTTCTCCATTTAATCACCCCTAACACCAAATACTCTTCACTGCCAATCCCTATTGACGTCTTTGATAGGCACATACAAAACTTCTCCATCTTGACATGGTGAGCTAAAGGCATTGAATGAGTAAGCAATTTACTTACCGACTCTGGTGTGAAACCATTCTCATTGCTGTCATCCAACTATGGCCTGCCCATCCAGGAGAGTTTTGGCTACCTACAGATTAAACCTGACATCCGACATACTGGTAGGCCAGACCTTAACATCTGCCAAATTGCATGCCAATGCTTAACCTCTTTTGTGGCCAAAAGTAAACGTATCAGCCTAATCTTTAACCTATTTTAATACTAAAGTAATCTTTACTAAACCCACTCCCTTTTTAAAATGGGGAAAAGTACAAGGAGCTTCCTTTACAACCTCCCAGGAAGTGATGGGAAGTCTCTCCAACAGGGACATAAACCCATATTTTTAGTAGAGTGAGAAAAGTTTAGAACTTCTAACAGTGTTAGGCCAGCATCAACAGGCATCTACTGGCTTTACCACTGCTTACTTTCATATGCAAGTTTATGGGAATGAAAAGCAGCTGAGACAGGTCAAATGCAGGACAACTGCACCTGCTATGAATTACAAATTATCTAACACATGCCCCAAATTTGTGTTAAAAGCATGCTGCATTTGTCTATTGAAACAAAATCGACACAGGCCCTAATTATTACTCTCTATGACTTCCTGTCCCATTGACAACCATTTCCCCTTTTTCTTGTACAGGAGTCACAGAGACAGGAAGTGAGAAAAATCTCCCCAGTGTCACAAAAGAAATAATAACCTGATAGAAATGTTAACTCTTCCCCACTCTATCCAAAACAAAAACAAAACAATAGGTTTTTAAATTAAAACCTGCTTTATTACAAGGGCTGAATGGCACATTTGAAGATAAGCAGACATGAGTGGGAACCACTTAAATGTAAATTTTTTTGGTAGATGCTGGAGAGTTAAACTACCTGACAATTTCCAATTTCTTATACAGTATCTCTTAGGGACCCTACTGGTGAGGTCTTGGTTTTTGATATCCTAGGTCTGCATACCTGCTGTCCCCATTAGGATCGGGGCCTCCCCCCGTGTTTGAAATAGTATTTATTGTATATGATGGAAAATGCAACAGGAGGAGCTGGACCATAAAGGTGGGCGGGTTCTCCCAAAACTCCCAGATGAAAAGGAACCGAGTTGGGAGATCTCATGGTTGCAGTAAACAAGAAATATAGGAAGCCAGGGCTAACATATCCAACCCCACTGGAAGGGTTAATATTTTTTCTGCCCGGAGTCGTTCTTTAGTCTTCAATGGTTTACTTTGTACTGTTGTCTTATGCATTTTACAATTTATTATGTCTATTTATGTGTGTAATTAAAGGAAGTAAACTACACCCCTGGATAGCACTTACCACATCTATACTTTGCCATAAATAAATAAAAAACACCTATATTTTCCTACTTAACTGCTATGATAGGCCGATTCATTTGAATAAAACAATTTTTTTTTCTATCACAGAATTAAAACTTACCTTGCACTTATTTCAAAGGCTTTTATGGCGGAGAGACGCAAGTGTTTCTTTCCAGCCAAGTTCTCCATTATGCTCTGGCCCTGGATGCAGGCAGCAATGCTTAACATCTCACATCCCAGCGTAGAACTGCACCTACAAGAGTCACCAGCAATTTCCTGATTACTTATTGAATTGCAGCAAACGCACTGGCATTCTAATGTTTACAATCACGCTTTAGTATTTTTCTGCACAATTATCTTAACAGGAAAAGCATTTTCTCAATTAATAATGTGCTTAGCCCTAATGTGGAAGAAATAAAGGATATAAAATCTACTGGCAATAACTAGTGCCACTTCTACAATGCAGAACTTGCCAAGCAACTAACAAGTGCAAAGCTGCTGAGAAACCACAAGCCCCAGCATTTACTTGCAGACATTTGCATGCCTAGCATGCTGGGACATTCAAGGTAGAAGGTCACCTACACTTCATATAGGAGACTAACCTTAGGCTAGCCTTAAAGTGTATGTAAAACTTAACAATGAACTTCTCTTAATTGCTCTTTTTTGGTCTGTTAAATACGCAGTTGAAATTGTTTTGTTATATGTGTTTCTAAAGTGGAAAATATATCTGTTGATCATCTCCACCTGGTTTCTTTGAGCTGCTCACATGTCATTGCCCACCAGATTTCATCTAGTACACCCCCACCCTCTCGAGAGCGCTGAACATACTTTTTTGTTATCAGAAATGAAGAGCTGCCCTGTGCCCCTTGCACACTTCTTGTGTTGTTTCTGAGAGTAGAATGCATTCTCTCAGCTCTTATCTTGGATCACAGAACAATCAGCCTATCTTGTAGAGAACAGGAGAGTTGGAGGGTTTGAGTAGTTTTGGAAAAGACAACTGGGCAGGGCTGACACCATTTAGTCAACAAAAACATGAGTTGATTACCTGATAACTCTGTTTCCAGGAATCTTCCAGGACAGCCATCGAGATATAGGCTCCGCCTGCCTGCAACAGGAAACACATCAACCACATTAAATAAATAGACTCCTCCTTCCATCCCAAGTCAGTAACCTCTAGGACCGAAGGCTACCCCATGCACAAAAGTATCCCCTCCTGCATCCAACCTCGGATGCCACCTGGATACACACCAAGGGCGGGAACTGGCTGTCCTGGAAGTGTGTCTTCAGTCCACAACAGTGCCTAAGCTGACACTGTTCTGTTTTTTTTGTTCAACCTGCGGGCTGAAAAACCCCTTCTCCTTTCTCTAGTCTTTGTAAGTGGTGCTGCCAAGTAAAGTGAAGTAATGGGGAGGTAGGAAGTAGCCCCCCCCCCGTTTCAAAGAAATGTAGATGTGCACCCAAGCTTCCAAAGTGAGGTGTAGACAACTAGGCATAGAGCAAACTATTGTCAGATGTTTAAAAGAATGTACTCCAACACCCTTTATTGGTCCATCTTATAGTGGTATAGTGGTGACCGCTTGCTGTGATCCTTCATCTGTGCTTGGCTAGGGAAGTGGGTGCCAACAATGCAAAGTGATTTTTAACCTCCAGTGATGTAGCTGCCTGGTTTTGGACTTAAAATTCTAGTTGTAGATTTCTACTGCTGTAGGCTAAGGGATAACTAGCAGCTTTGCTATTTCCTCTTGGTCTACATCAGTGAGAAGCGTACAGGCAGGTCATTTTGAACCTCTGTCAATCATGGGAAGTGCAATGTTTTTGTCACGGATACCACAAATAAGATTACATTATTGGTGAGGTTAGAATCCTATCAAGCATACAGGGCATTACTACGCAGTCTGTAGTCTTGCATAGGTGGGAAGGCATGGAAAGGTGAAAATGCCAATGATGCCATATAGGGCAGTGAGCTAGCGGATTAGAGTTAGGGTTTTTATGCCCTAGAACATGAAATTGGAAGAACTGCATAGATCACCATGCAAAAATAACAATAAAAAGACACAGATAAAAAAAGTGTTACTGCATTGCAAAGTTGTCTTAGCAGCAACCTATAACATTTAGATTTTTTTTATAGAATTTGTCCATCCAAAACCACTGTTGGGTTTTTATTGCTATTGGGAATCTGTTATAGAGACTTCCTCTGACACACAGTCTCGGGGACAACGTTTTCACCAAAACAAGCAGCAAGGGAGAACCTGCAACATAGGAACACAGGCAGCAATAAAAAGCTGATAAGGTTCTAGCTTTTCCCTACTCTAGTGAAATTAGGGTTTAAGCGATCTGGCCTGAAACCCAATACTAAACAATTCGAAAGAAATCTTACGTGGGATCATAAAACAAAAGAAAAAAATATATTATAAATTCAATTATACTGTGAAAAACAAGATAGTGGTTAAAACAGTAAAGGAATTTGACCACTGTGTAAAAAACATCCAATATATAACAATATATGAACGATCCACACAAAAAAATTATTAGAAAAATTATTAGAAAAAAAATATGCAATAATATGTTTAGGCAGCAGATGTCAGTGTTACCTTTCAGTTGGGCTCAGTTCATAAATAACAGTTACGGAAACATAAAGGACCATTTTTAATACAAGTCTAAAATACAGCCTTACTGCAGACAGGTATTTTGTTAGCACTCAATTCACTGTAAATCAAACAAGTCTTTGTGTATAATAAATATAATAACATGACATAAGTTGCTAAACAAGAACAAACACAAGGAGATTATGTTTGTTTACTACCAATGCCAGCAAGAAATAACAATAAAAAAACAATACATTGAAAATAAAACACAAAACAGAGCTATTGGATTGCACTTTATTTAGAAAGTTAATAAAATGAATAAATAACATTTAAATCTGGCAGCCACAGCACATAATAATGAAGATCTTAAATGACCCGTGTCTGTATATGACAGCATTATTCACTTTGTCCACGTCCATGGTAAAGTGAACCGGTCATGACAGAAATTTGGGGGCAATTATTGATCCTCTTCTATAAAATGCTAGTTGCCTGGCTGTTATTCTCAGCCACTGGTTTTGGTGCTTTCTGAGTCACTAATCTAGAACAAGCATGCAGTTCAGGAAAGCTGGAGATGATTTGGAGATATTTATCTGCATAGGTACTCCAAGACTGTACTCTACCAATTTGTGGCTGGTTCTTGATGAAGCAACCGAAAGTCGCACAGTGGGTGCCCCTATCGGTGCCCTTCCGTCCAGCATCCTTTGATCAGAAAATCAAAAGAGCCAGATGGGACATATTTGGGCGCACAGTGACAGCATCCAATCAGCTTCCGTTACTGTTCAGGTATTCTGACAGAAGCACACCTGCCGCTGTCAGAATACAAAGGACACATCGATTTCTCCACCCGTGATTTAGGAGCATTTCCGGCAGATCCACATGTATTTTTCTGCATTCAAAGGGTCTTCAAAGGGATAAAGCAGAGGATAACATTAGTAGACATGTATCGCAAGTGAAGTGTAGAGGTGCTGGAAGTTTCGCACCCCGGGTTATAGTATAGGAAAAATAGGATGTTTCCACAATGGGGTGTGCAAGTACCCAGAGGGAGAAACGAAAAAGGGGCTTTTGAGAAATAATTCTCAAAAGCCCCTTTTTCGTTTCTCCCTCTGGGTACTTGCACACCCCATTGTGGAAACATCCTATTTTTCCTATTCAAAGGGATAAAGGATGGGGCAATGTGTATGTATTGCAAAGATGTACACATATTATTTTTACTTTTACCCTGACATACATTTTAGGCTGTGCCGCTGTCACGTGCCCTTGTCTGATGGTAAACAATGCCCCTGTTATATAATGCCTCTGTTATATAATGCCAGCACCTCAGAGAGCAGTAAAGACTCTGGCATTAGATGAATGACAGGCAATGAGGCTTAGAATTTGACATGTACCCCAATACACCACTGGATTTGGTCATCTGACTTAATCAGTTAGCCAGATCTTTAACACATTATATCAACTGAGTGATTGGCCAAATAGGAACACCATGGGAATATACAACCTCAGCCAAACTTCCATATAATGCAGAAAGCAATAAAAGCAGCTAGATACCCTAACGAAAGATCCACCACATAACTGAGTTTTCCTTTTACTGTTTCCATGTAAAGTTAAACTGGCTGTAGGATTCTTCTTTGCCTCATATACAGTGAAATTATCAGCAGATAAGACAATGCAATCTACCCAACAATTGTCTGATTTATGGGTTTATTTCCATATATGCAGTCAATGCATAAAATAAATAGAAAACATACTTACACTTCTTGTTTTCTTGTCTTGTCATCCAATCCTAAAGCTTTCTGAGTACAGGATAATGCTAATTCTAAGTCTTGAGCACTATATGCAAAATGTGCCAGCCTGGTTAATGTCTGAAGTTCCACAAGGGGATCCGACCAACTGCAATCCAGTGTCATTTTCAGCACCTGGCAATAATACACAATATGAGCACTGAATGACTCAGTAGCGATATGTCTTCTAAAGATCATTGAGTATAAGATACATTGGATTAATAATTTTATTCTGAAAAATGAACTTCAGCATGCACAGAGCTCTGCAATAAGCCATATACAGGGAACGAGCACAGATATACAGTACATAGGTGTCCCATGTCATTATCTGTGAAAGTAAGATCTGCCCAATATACAATATGGCTAAGGAGTGCCTGGACTTTGTCAGACCCCCGGGGGGTGGGGATGGAATTAGTTGAGAAGCAGCGCCCAGACAGCAGCCCCCGAAATTGCACCACTGGTGTTAGGTCACACTTGAACAGGACCTAGTAGAGTAACAATTCACAAGGAGGAGTTGTAGTCAAATAGTAAAAGTCAGAGCAGGCATCATAGTGAAAGGACCAGGCAGTGTTATAGTTTGTCCAAAAACACATCACTGTCACTTTTATTAGGCAGCTTGTCCTGTATTTAATTGGGCAAAAAAAATATGAAGGCATGGGAAATAAAAATGTTTTGCCAAAATGACATTGTTATGTATATAGAATAGTGGTCATTTGAAAAGAGTATGAGGCCACAAAGTTGGAGAAGACATTCTGAGAAGAAGTAGTGCCCCCGGTGGGGCACAAAATGTTCAGGCGACCAGCCATTACTAAGCACAGTCTATCTTCAATAGCATATTTCTTAACTGCTGCACACTATTGTATTTCTTAATGAATATAGCATGGAACAAGTGTAAAGAGCTACTTTCTAGTAGGAATGTCAAATGTAATTTCTAATTACAGTAAATACTCTATTCTACTCAACGTACAGAAAAACGTTATTCCTATTTCTTACACTTGTACACCAAACCATTTCTGACATCTCTACTTTTGACCTTTTCTTACCAGCAAGAATGCAGTAGCTTTCACAACAATGTATGCTATATTAGAATTAAACTAATTTTCATTAGTCATTTTTTTTTTTTTATGTTTCATGTAACAGTTGCTATAACATTAATAGCATAAGAGTTCATTTTAAAATGAGCAGGAAAGGTGGTCACTGGGTCACGCTATAATATATGCTTTCATAATGAAGTATCTAGCGACTTGCTCAGTCCTTCATAACTCGATACACCAATATGATATACAGTGGTACCTCGGTTCACGAACGCTTCTGTTCGCAAACAATTCGGTTCGCAAACAGGACGTTCGTCAAAATGTTGCCTCCGTTCGCGAACTCTGCATCGGGTGACGAGCACGACTGCGGCCATCTTCCCCGCTCGGACACATTGTCGTGGCTTCCTCTAGTTGAGATCATTCAAAATCCAAAACTTCCCATCGCACTCCTGCTTGGAAAGAAAATCCCCACACACAGGGCGGGTGCGGCAGTGACAGCAGACGCCTCCACAGGTAACAATGATCAGATGGTAAGTTACTCGCACTCAAATATATCTTCCAGTCAATCTATTTATTGACTTAATAGTGCAACATTTCCATACATTGTTTCGGAACTAAAGCGGTCCCTTCATCAGGCAAATTGCCTGATGAAGGGAATGCTTTGGATCCGAAACGTTGTATGGAAATGTTGCACCATTTAGTCAATAAATAGGTTGACTGGAAGCTATATTGGAGTGCGAGTGGCTTACCATCTGTTCCTCTAGTCGAGATCGCGGTCGCAGACAGAGCCGTGCACACTTGCTGTGAAGCTTTTTTGTGTGCTTTTTAGCACAGTACTGTACTGTACAGTATTACAGTATTCAATCCAGCATGGCTCCCAAGAAAGTGCAGAGCAAGCATTGTGGTAAAAAGAAAGTGCAGAGCGGTAATGAAGGTGTCAAGGGTTATGCAGTGCAGGAAAAAACAAGTGACATTAGACAGATTTTTTGGTAAAATTAACCCTGCAGCTAAGAGGAAGAGAGGAAACCCCTGAAGGAGATCTCCCCGATGTTCTTATGGAGGGGGACTCTCCCTCCAAACAATAACCCCCCCCCCCACCCCCCACCTTGCTGTCCTCAACGCCAAAAGTCGCCCCAAGAAAGGTTAGTGTTCACTCTCTTCATACTGTACTGTACTTTGTTTCATATTTTTGTGGTTCAATTTTTTTTTACATATGTTTCAGAACAGATTAACATCATTTACATTGAACACTATGGGAAAATGTGTTTCTGTTCGCGACCCCGTTCATAGGGTTCAGAATGGATTAACCTTATTTACATTGAACCTTATGTGGAAATTTGATTTGGTTTGCAAACAATTTGGTTCGTGACCAGAATCGTGGAACCAATTAAGTTTGTGAACCGAGGTACCATTGTATATCTAGGGGTTTGTAACAGTGTTTACTGCAGTTAACCTTAAAGCTTAACTATGCCAAGGTTTTGAACACTATAATGTTTACTGATTATTATTAAGCAGTTCATAAGCTTTAAAACAAGCCTTCACCTACCTTTGTAGCTACAGACGCTGTGGAGCACTTCAGTCTCAAAGATAACAAGAGAAGGAATTACATCATGTAAGTAATGACCTAACACACTGCTCTCATCCCCTCTTTAACTGTGCACCTGCTCTGTGTTCTATATTGTTTTGTCTTAGGAAGTATTGGTTTGAAGCTTACTTACCGTTTGTTAAAGGAGAACTATGAGGTGAGTGCTTTTCACTCACCTCATAGTTCTAGCCGACCTGTGACAATGAGACTGTCACAGGTCGGCTCAGTAGATCGGGAGGTGAGCGAACACATACCGGCGTTCGCTCACCTCTCGATCCTGTCACGGCTCTCTGCCGTGACAGGGGAGGGGCTGGATTCCCCCCTCCCCGCTCCGCCAGCGCTGACTGGCGGAACGGACGGGGGAGGGGGCGGGTACAGCTGGCTCTGCATCTAGATAGGCAGAGCCAGCTGTCAGTCACGCAGCTGGGCGGATCTAGACATAATTGTCGGGATTCGCTTCAGCTGCGGCGTCTTAGTATACCGCAAGCTACAGCTCGCGGTATACTGAGCCAAGGGTGACGGGAGGACGCTAGTTTGTGTCCTCCCCTTACCCTAAGGAGAACTATGGGGAAAAGCCTTAACCCCATAGTTCTCCTTTAAATATGAGTAAATACTTGAATGTGCATAGCCTAGCAGTGAAGGCTACTGCTGCCTATTCACAATTTTCATTGTTTGCTCAGTTAGAACTACCCAGGTTTGTGACAGGTAGAAATTAAGATCCAATAGGTTGTATATATTTGTTTTTAGGAATCTCAGGTAGAACATAGAAAACATTCCCTCACTGGTTCCTTACAGAAATATGCAGAGCTTAAAGTCCACTACCTGCCAAACATTTTTTTGGGGGGATAGAACAGGAAAAGTTAGGATATCTGTCAGGATTTTACTACTGTCTGTGTCCCTGTGTTGACCCTGACAGAGCTTCTAACCCTTCCTCATTCTATCCAAACAAAAAGGAAATGCTTTGGTGGTGTTTAACTTTAAATATAGTCAAATTATGATCAAAGCTGGTAATATAGACTTGCAGTTTGGTTAAAACGATAAATACCTGAGCTAGGCTTGGGACAGTAAATTCCATCAGTCTGAGCCCATTGCAGGAATGCATTTCTAAGGCAACGAGGACTTTAGTCATTGGGTTCTGTCCCTCGTTGTTTTCCTAGAAACAGTAAGTACCTCATTAAAAAAAATGACATTATATTGCTCTGAATTTGGCTAAATAAGAAAACAGATAAAAAAGGACACATTCACATATACTGTATGTGCTTGCATTAACACAGGTCTTTACTGAAATTTATTGAATACATTTTTACATACACTTACAGGGATATTTACACATTGTACATTGTTAAAGATGGAAAACTGAGGAGTAAATACATATGTACAAAGGGATAGGGCACCAAATGGGGGACAGTTGGTGACTATGGAGTCGTCCAGGCCCAGTGACCCACACTTTCAATAACATGAGCTCTAGCAGGCTCATTAACATGTTAGAAGTATCCTAATAAACTCAACTCACTTCTCTGTCTACAAATCATCTGTATAGCAGCAAAGGACTTTCCCTGGGTTCACACCTAGGCGTATTGTAATATGCGCGTCTGTCGCGCGACCGTTGCGCGATTCCAAAGGCTACTTGGCTTATCCCAATGGAAAACGCCCTACAAAACGGCCCAAAGTAGTCCCGGGACCTTTTCAGGCGTGGGCCGTTTTGTAGGGCGTTAGGGACGGGCGGAAATACGCCTAGGTGGGAACGAGGGCATTGACTACAATGCAATTTATATTTTTGACCGTTTTGTAGAGCGTCCGTCGGGCGTAGGACGCGCTACAAAACGGTCAGGTGTGAACGGGGCCTTTGTATTGATGCGAAAACAACTAAATGGAATTGAAAAGTGGTTAATCCTTCATAACCATTGTAAATGTGCAGTGATGTGAATTTCCTCTCACTTCTCCTCTCACATTGGGCAAGCTTGCCTCTTTCATGCCCAATGGCCCATCCTATTCTGTCTGTAGCACAGTAAAAAGCAACACCAGCAAAGTCATAGTCTTCCACCATCTACTAAAGTGCTGAGCTCTAGTAAAGACGCACCAGCTGTTCAGACAATAGTTAGTCCTAAAGTAGAACACAGGAAGAAGGCTCAAAGTATTTAAATATAGAAACCCCACACCACAGTACCTCATCGTCTGTTCCCAGCTTCTGTCCAATATGTTGTTGAAGCAGCTGCTTTACTTTTATCCATGTTGATAGCAACTGTTGTCTTATGGAAATAGGTACTACATCTTCTGGAGTGCTCCCATTTGTCATATCCAGGCAAGACTCACAGACCTGAATGGTAATACAATTATCATCTGATTAAAGGTCACTGGAAACAGAGAAATAATGGTATGTATATTAAAAGGCATTGCATTGTATGAATGGCTGAAAAAAACAACTCCATTGCGTTTTGCCTTTAAATTTCCAAACAAGAGAAAAAAAACTGTAGCATAAACCTAAGGAAACCAGCCATGACACCATACCTATAATTAGAAAATTCACCTGATCATGAAGCGATCACGTGTAACCACACAGGGCTTGGCGAACAAATTGCCTGGTAGCTAAGTGG